TTAATTTTTCCCAGTGTAGTTTTTACTGAATATTGAATTTCCTTTTAAACTTTAGTATATCTCTTAAGTTTTCTATCCCCCTAGTCTTTTGATCTATTCATGCATATTGCAAAGTGAATGAAAGCAACCATGGAAAAGACAAAGCTAAAGAGACAATAAAAAGATCAGTCTGTGCCAGGTGTTTGGGGACAGAAGGAAGGCCCCCGCTGCCACACACCCCATGCTGGGCTGCCCTTTCCACTACAGCTTGGCATGAGTATGCTGGAGGAGATGGATGTCTGAGGGACAAAAGGAGGGAAAGAAGGAGGAGGGTGTGAGGCATCAAAGGTGCCCCTTTGAGGCCCTTCTCCCAGGCATGCAACCAATAGAGGGAGTCTCCAGCTGCACAGGAGTGGGTGTGTAGTCCCAATTGGTAATGTTTAAAATGACGTCAATATAAATGTACAAGGCACACACATGTGCACGTAAAACACCTGGTCACAAACGGCCAAGCTAAATGCAGAGTTTATCACCAGGGAGTTGGGGAGAGAGGAGACTTTCACTTTGTTTTATACATTTGTAAACCATTTGATGAGTTTTCCAAACAGCACATGTATTTTGTCATTTTTAAAATAATGATTCTTATAGTGCAGGAGGCTGACTTTTGAAAGCAGCCTTTTTGATAAAGGGACATTAATAAGTGCCAGTTCCCCAGATGAAAGGGTTGGGCCAGCTGGGGAGGCATGGGCGTACGGCCTGGACCTGTATGGGGTGGTGGTGCAGGGACTTTAATGTCAGCAGCGACCCCTGCTAGGGTGTGGAGGACGGGGTGGAGTGATGGAAAGGACACAAAGCACAGGTCTGAACTGGAAAAGATGGAAACTCACTCTCCAGTGACCTTTGCTCAGAGCAGTGGGCTTCCAGGTCAGCAGGAAACTGTGTGCAAGTGGGACATGGGTGTGGCAGTGAAGGGTGGGGCATGGACAGAGACCAGGCCTGGGTAGGAAGCCTATTTGCAGCATCATGGGAGGCCAAGTCAGTATGAGGCAAGAACTAATCTTTCTCCCGTCCCCCACCCATGCAGGCCCCCCCAACTTTCCACGTCTGCAGGTCCTTAATCCCAATGGAACTTGATTCTCATCCTTCTCATCCATAGGAATCTTTGGTGTCCTTGTGGATCAGGGATGCTGCCTGCCCATTTTAAGTTAATGTCTCAATTTAGAGTCAAAGACTAGCATCGTGTGAGCCACAAATATTGGAAGCTTAGACACTTCCCTCATAAAAGGGAAAAAAGATTAAATCAAAAGCCTTTTTTGAGGGCGTGCGAGTGAGGGGTGTGACTCAGATGTCAGGGCACTGGGACGTTGGGGCAGGCCTGATGTGGATCGGTGGTGGGATTCTGGGCAGTCCTTAGAGAAACTGCATTATTATTGAACTACTCTTAATTTCAGGAAAAACTACAGTCCTAGGTAAGCACAGTGGTTGTAGGATGGCATTTTCATGAGGTCACTCAGATTGCCTGATGATGAGGTGGCCCTTCTAATGTGGAAAGCAGTGTGAACCCACGTCTTGAACTCCTCAGGCTGCTCCACTGGACCTACTGCAAGTGAGCATCTAGTAGCTTGAGTGTTTGAACATTACTGGATCGCTATGAGTTGGAATCAACTCAATGGCAGTGAGTATACAGGCTGAGAGCAGAAATGTGGTGAGTCTCCAGGGAAGCAACAGGCTAGGGCGTCCAGGGGTGGGGCTGAGAGGTGGGGTCAGGTAGCAGTGTCTTAGAGTTGAGGCAATCTATGTGCAGGGAAGACATTATTTATTCATTTTTAAGAACAAAGAAATAGAGGCACAGCAAGTCCAGTAACTTGCTCTTGGTTGTATAGCTAAATAAATGGGTTGGCAGGAACTTGACTCCAAAAGTCTCCTCCGGGGAAAAAGCAGGGGTTCCCAAGCAAAAAGGAGACTGAGCAGCCACAAGGGAAAAAGGGTCCAAGACTCACTTCTCACCCACTAGGTATCCTACTATTCCTGTGGGGTCCTTGTCTCCTCCCCTCTCCATAAGCAAAGACCTGAGGACCCCCAGAGGTCATGGATCCTTTTGTGTGGACTCCAATTTAATCAAATCCAAGTATATGAAAAGTTGAGCATCTCTGACAGTGCTTTAAATCCCCTGCCAAGAAAAGGTATCCTGTCAAGGCCAGGTGGGGTCTGATTCTTATACGTGCACAATCAGAACCCTCGATTTAAAACTAAAAATCGCACTCTGGTAAGCAGAGAAAAGACCCATTTTAAAATACCTTGAGGTTGTTGTTATTACTACATTTAGGCATCCAAAAACAAGAATTTGAAATATCTCAGTAGCTTCCTCCTCGTGCCCTTTATGGATACCCCCATGAATAAAACACCTGCACAGAGAGAGAAGGATTTAAGAAATGTTAACAGGGTCAATAACATCATTTAATGGAGCCGCTCAGAACTGCAGATCAGTGGCTACAAAAATTCTCAACCCCTCTGTGCCTCTCACAGATTTTGTTAACTGCTCAGTTGGCTTCGACTCATGGCGACCCTATGTATAACAGAATGAAAAGTTGCCCAGTCCTGCGTCATTTTCATGATCCTCAGCGTTTTTGAGTCCTGTCAGACAATATTGTGTTCTGATCCACAGGGTTTTCATTGGCTAATTTTCAGAAGCAGATCACCAGGCCTTTCCTCCTAGTCTTAGTCTGGAAGCTCCACTGAAACCTGTTTATCTGGATGACCCTGCTGGTATTTGAAATACTAGTGGCATAGCTTCCAGCATCATAGCACCATGGAAGCCACCACAGCACAACAAAGTGACAAACAGGTGGTTACTCACAAAGACTAAAACCAAAAAACCAAACCCATTGCCATGGAGTCAATTCCTACTCACAGCGACCCTGTAGGACAGAGCAGAATTGCCCCACAGTGTTTCCAAGGTTATAAATCTTTACGCACACAGACTGCCACATCTTTCTCCCGCTGAGTGGGCTGGTGGGTGCCAACTGTTGACCTTCTGTTTAACAGTTGAGTGCTTTATCACTGTACCACCGGGGCTCTTCTCAAGAGACTAAAAAGACCCAAAAAACCAAACCAAACCTGTTGCCGTCGAGTCAATTCCGACTCATAGTGACCCTACAGGACAGAGCAGAACTGCCCCACAGGATTTTCAAGAGCAGCTGGTGGATTCGAACTGCCGACCTTTTGGTTAGCAGCCATAGCTCTTAACCACTGTGCCACCAGGGCTCCTCTCAGAGACTCCCATTGCCATTAAGTTGATTCCAAGTCACAGCGACAATATAGGACAGAGTAGAACTGCCCCACAGAGTTTCCAAGAAGTGGCTGGTGGATTCAAACTGCTGACCCTTTGGTTTGAAGCCAAGCTTTTAAACACTGCGCCATTCATAAAATACCTACCCATAAACAGAAGGGCTTTAAAGTGCTAGGATTTGTATCACTGATATTAAAATTAAACATTAGAGCCATATGTTTAAAACCGAAAATTCTCAATCAACATGCAAAAAGAAAAAAATATAGACTTTAAGAGGTTTAGTTCTTCACTACTTGATAAACACTGCCTAATGTACAATTGGACACGTTATCAGGAGGAATCAGTCCCCGGAGGAGAACATTATGCTTGGTAGAGGATCAGCAAAAAAAAAAAAAAAGACCTTCAATGAGATGGACTGACACAGTGGCAGTAACAATGGGATCAAACATAGCAACAATTGTGAGGATGGTGCAGGACCAAGCAATGTTTCATTCTTTTGTACAAAGGGTCACTATAAGTTGGAAACCGACCTGATGGCACCTAATAACAACAACAAGGTACTATTACATGAAGTGTCAGAATATTTACAGTGATTGGCCAAGGATTCATCACATTTTGAGCCAGAAGTAAAATGTCCACCAGCATTCCTGAGCTCCACTACACACACACATCCATTGCCAAAGCCTCTGTATTGTCCTCCTCTATACATACACGTGCTAAAACCCCAAAGTCTCTTGTTTCTAGAGGAAATGACAAGACTGCACATATGTGGATGCAGACAGCAGACTGCTCACTCACTGGAGTACAGCCTAGAAAAAGTGTTCACTGATCAAATGGATCACCTTTAAATTTTTTTTGTGGGGGGGGGGGTTAGTTCCAGAGGGTGCCAGAGTCAAAAGGATGGAAATTCAGACAGTGCAATGTCTATTCTCACCACAACCTACTTTGCTCCTGGCTGGTGACAATTAACAATGCTGGGCTCTATTTCAAGGCTCTACCACTCACTGGGTCACCAAGAGCTACTCCTATATGCCATGTTTGCATACATATTTGGGCTGCAATAATTTTTACTTTTATGAAGCTGATTCCAGAGCTGATGCAGGAAAAGTCCAAGATGTATCTGGGACACTGCCAGAATATAATGCCAAAAAAAAAATAGTAGTATAGGAACCTACTTAAGGCAGCTTCTAACAACCACATCTGTGACAATTTGAGCAAGAAAATTAAATACTAATATCCATTAGCCTATACCGATATAAAAATTTTAATAAGTAAATCAAGTAGGGAAGAAAGGAAAGCTTACAGTAGAATTTCAATAAATAAATATAGAATGAATGCTTGAAAAGAAAATCACCATTTGGTAAACACCACAGTAACAATGACGGCAGGTAATAATTACCAATGGATCTAAAATTAGTAGACAAAAGATGAAAAATATTTGCACAATCCCAAAATATCTCCCTGGAGCCCTGGTGGTGCAGTGGTTAAAAGCTTGGCTGCTAATCAAGAGGCTGGCAGTTCAAATCCACCAGTCCCTCCCTGGAAACCCTATGGGGCAGTTCTACTCTGTTCTATAGAGTTGCTGTAAGTCAGAATTGACTCGGTAGCAACAGGTTTAAAGTATCTCCCTATGCGAAACTTATTGACTACAAAGGGTAAAACAATTTATAGTGGCGAAGAGTGGAAGAAAATACCTTAAACAAGAAAACAGAACAAAACCCCTCAACCCAAATATAAGATCAGTGCCTTTTATTGCATGCAAATTAACATCAATAAAAACATTAGAAAAACATGAAACCACATATGCTCAGGGCTATTCACTGCAGCCTCATTTGTAATACTCAAAGATTGTAAGAGGGCAACATTTAGTGTGGACTAAGAAAGTAAACATCTGCCCAGGTGTTCATGAAACTAGAGAAATGAACACTAATAAAGACAACTGCATATTACCATGAAACTTATTTCTCCCAAAGGCACAAAGTAGCTCTAATGATCCCTTCTTTGAGTTTCTGTTGCTTTCTTACTCACTGAGAAAGTTTGTTCTCTAATCAGAGACTTTCAAAAATTTGCTGTTTGAAATTACAGCACTATGAATGAAACAATTCTTTCTTAAGGCCTCTCTCCACTGTGAGTTCTCATATGTTTAGTGAAATGTGAGGACCAACGGAAGGCTTTGCCACATTCCTTGCATTCATAAGGCCTCTCTCCACTGTGAATTCTAATATGTCTAGTGAGGAATGAAGAATGACAAAAGCCTTTCCCACATTCCTTACATTCATAAGGCCTCTCTCCACTGTGACTTTTTATATGGGTAGTGAGGTATGAAGACTGACAAAAGGCTTTCCCACATTCCTTACATTCATAAGGCCTCTCTCCACTGTGAGTTCTCATATGCCTAGTGAGGTGTGAGGAATGATGAAACGCTTTCCCACATTCCTTACATTCGTAAGGTCTCTCTCGACTATGAGTACTCATATGTTTAGTGAAGTTTGAGGACCAACTAAAGGCTTTGCCACATTCCTTACATTCATAAGGCCTCTCTCCACTGTGAGTTCTTATATGTGTAGTGAGGTGTGATGGCCAACTAAAGGCTTTCCCACATTCTTTACATTCATAAGGCCTCTCTCCACTGTGACTTCTTATATGTGTAGTGAGGTCTGAGGAGTGACTAAAGGCTTTGCCACATTCCTTACATTCATAAGGTCTCTCTCCACTGTGAGTACTCATATGTTTAGTGAAGTTTGAGGACCAACTAAAGGCTTTGCCACATTCCTTACATTCATAAGGCTTCTCTCCACTGTGAGTTCTTATATGTGTAGTGAGGTATGAGGACTGACGAAAAGCTTTCCCACATTCATTACATTCATAAGGTCTCTCTCCACTGTGTGTTCTCTTATGTCTAGTGAGGTGTGAGGAATGACGAAAGGTTTTGCCACATTCCTTACATTCATAAGGCCTCTCTCCACTGTGAGATCTCATATGTCTAGTGAAGCTTGAAGAATGATGAAAGGTGCCACCACATTCCTTACATTCATAAGGCCTCTCTCCACTGTGACTTCTTATATGTGTAGTGAGGTGTGATGACCGATTAAAAGTTTTGCCACATTCGTTACATACATAAGGCCTCTCTCCACTATGAATTCTCATATGTATAGTGAGGTTTGAGGACTTATGAAAGGCTTTGCCACATTCCTTACATTCATAAGGCCTCTCTCCACTGTGAGTTCTCATATGTATAGTGAGGTTTGAGGAATGACCAAAGGCTTTCCCACATTCCTTACATTCATAAGGCCTCTCTCCACTGTGACTTCTTATATGTGAAGTGAGGTGTGAGGACTGACTAAAGGCTTTCCCACATTCCTTACATTCATGGCGTTTCTCTCCAGTAAGTGTTCTCATAGGAGTGCTGAGGTAAGAGGGACAACTGCAGTCTTCTCCACATTCCTTATGCTGAGAGGCACTGCATCCCGAGTGAGAGCTGATATGATGCTTAAGTGATGAATGATCCATCAAAGATTTTCCACACTCAAGGCATTCAGAAGGATATGCTTCCATAGGAGTTCTTTTCAGCACAGAAAGATCTGGAATCCGGCTGAAGGTCTGTCCACACGGACTGTCTTCATTATTTTCACAGAGGTTCTCTACCATATGCCTTCTGTTAAAAATAGGCAGCATGCTGTTGGATATAAATTTACCATTTCACCATTACCATATACCATAAACAAGTATTTTTTTTTGCCCTGAATTGTCTCATGTTTCATAGATTAAATCATCTGGTAGAGATGCTACCAATAGTTTCACTGTTTCTAAAATATAGGTCTTCCTCATAATTGTATATAAGCGAAATATGTTTCAAATATTCAATATCTGACTCACATTTATGAAAATATTGTACTGCAGAAGTTCTGTGAACACACAATATTAGAACTGGTTTTATATACCTAGATTAGATACCTGGATGGCACAAAAGGTTTGCACTTGACTAGAACCTAAAGGCTGGTGGTTTGAAGCCATCCAGCAGCACTGCCATGAGTCAGAACAGACTCTACTGCAATGGGTTTGAGAGATATATATAGCTATAGATATATAAGCCCTGGCTGTGCAGTGGTTAAACGCTTGGCTGCTAACTGAAAGGTCAATGGTTGAAACCCACTAGCGGCTGTGTGGAAACAAGATGCGGCAGTCTGCTTCCGTAAAGATTATAGCCTTGGAAACCACTGCGAGGCAGTTCTACTCTGTCCTATAGGGTCGCTATGAGTCGGAACCTACTTGACGGCAATGGGTTTGTACATACATACATATACATATATATACAATTGTTGTTAGGTGCTGTTGAGTCAATTCCAGCTCACAGTGACCCCACGTGACAGAGTAGAACTGTCCCATAGGGTTTTCTTGGCTGTAATTATTATGGAAGCAGATTGCCAGGTATTTCTCCCACAGAGACACTGGGCAGGTTCAAATTGCCAATCTTTTGGTTAGCAGTCGAGTGCTTAACCATTTGTGCCACCTGGGCTCCTTATATATATATTTGAATGCCATGATACACTTAAGACACTCTCCTGAAGCACTGCTGTCTCTCAAGTGAATGACGCTCACCTCACACATGTTTTCTGGTTGTTATCCTGGTCTTCGATGCCATGCAATTTGCAGATTCCTCCTACCATGGAGGGCCAGGTGTCACTTTTCATGAATCGTACTATTATATTTTCAGTGGACAGCTTTTCTCCATCATCAAGGTTTCGAGAAACTGACCCAATGATTTTAGTTGAGGTTCACAATATGAAATAAAAAGGAAAGGAATTAGAGGGAAAAAGTAGCTATGAGAACAGAAAGACTTGGACGCATTCTGCAGTTTCAGTACTTTGGCAATGGTCTGAAAGCAATTTACTAGGAAATACTTCCATGAAGGTTGAGAGTGATGTGACAAAAATAAAGTGTAATTAGAAGAGCAAAGTAGAAAGGTATTGAACACCATGTACATGGAACATTAAAAGAGGAAAAGGGGACGGTCTTTCTCCATGAACACAGGTGTGTTAGGATTGAGGAAAAGTCAGAAAAGCAAGCTCTGGTATCTGTGAAGTACATACTCCTCAATGCAAAAGAAACTTTTTCTGATTTATTTAAATCTCACTCCCTACATGCAGGTCTCGTCCTTCAAAGGATTCTTGCCTCCTGGTACTCACTGACACAGTGGTTCTGGATGAGGGCTATCTGCACTCTCCTTAGGTCTTCCTCTTGCTACTCTGGGAGAACAAATGAGTGTAGCTGCCATGGCACTCATGAAGAAAGGCATATCATTAGGGAAGACAGGAAGAGCAATGAACACTTCCCTGACACTGAACCAATACTTTGGTCTTCAGGGTCTCTCTGAAGATGAGAGGATGTAAATTTATTTGTAGCAAAATAATCATGGCAAACTTGTAATAAACACAGACTCGTAATTTACAAGGTCCCAGATTACAAATATTCTCTCTGTGCACCAAAGAAACCTCTGGAGTCAATGATCACACTTACAACATTTAAAAAGCCTTAAGACTTTTACCCACAGTTGAAATGAGAAGTCAGTTTAATACACAGAGCTTTGTATTTATGGGGAAGCCAGGCTATGCATGCTCCAGAGAGCAAATGACCATATTTCTCTTATTTAACAATGTATTCCATTCCTCAGCCCACATACTGGAGTAACATCAATGAGTAGGACATATTTGGTCACTAAAGAATAAATTACAAAAAAAAAAAAAGTCATCCATACCTGAGGCCAGGTTTCTGAAGGTTTCCATCATTACATCTCTGTAGAGTTTCCTCTGAGAAAGATCCAGCAATGCCCACTCTTCCTGGGTAAAGTCCACAGCCACATCCTCAACAGCCACTGAGTCCTAAAACATCCCACATATTCTGGTTCAGCAACATGTACTCCAATGTGTGTGAAAGGAAGGGTAAGGCTGACAGTTCTGGAGAACTGAGACTTCATGGGGATTTGACATGGGTTCTGCGTTCTACTAAAGTCTACTCTAGGGTTTAGCCATCAGCCTCATCCCTTCACTATCTACATTCACTTCCTTGCTGATTGCATTCTGTCTCATAAATTTAACACTTCCCACACAATGAACTTATGTCTCCGCAGTTCGACTGTGACTAATTCGTCTCATTCCTCTTTATCTTCGGTCTAGAACAGTCACACAGCATAACAGAACACACAGCATAAACTAGAGAAATGCTCTACAATCAAAGTCTTAGTTGCACATTCAGATCTCTTCCTAGTGAGAAAAAAAAAAAGTTCACCTCATCAGACAGGACCCACCAGAATATTTAACAAAACATGAAGCACAGGGTGAAAACAGGATGAGATATTAACAACTGGATAACACTCCAGGACTAGCAGTATTTCCTTTTGCCCCTCACCAGCCATGGGAGGCCCAGTGGCCTGCAGAAAAAAAGTGGCAACATAAGGCCCTGAGCTCATTATATTTTCTTAAAGAACTCCAGGTGATCAGGAGCTGACAGGACCACCTGATAAAAAGAGGGTATTATTTTGGGTAATTATGAAATTTTACATGTCTGTCACCTACTTTTTAATAACTCTACAGTTGTGCTGTCACACACTCTGTCCCTTCATGGAGATAGGCAAGGGTATTGAAAAGGTACAGATCTTAAGTGGAAGACAGGAAACAACAGAATCCAGAATCCAGATATCATCAAATTCTTCAAACTTTGACACCCAAAGCTACTGTACAGCAATTATTAGTGACTGCTCCCTTCAACAATAGACACCCAGACACCCACACAAACACGCTAATGTTATAAGACGACAAAGAACCCAATCTCTGAAGAATCAGAATAGCATGCCCTTGTGTTTGGTGACCAGGAACAAGAAGTTAAGATTCACGTTTTCTAGTAAGTTCATTGCAGTGCAGGGGATTCAGCTATTAAACTGTTCATGCATCCTAGGAAACAGACTTACACACCAACCCTGTAGACACTCCACTCCAAAATTTTCTCACATTTGCAGCCCTTGGAAGACACACAAGTATGACTACCTGAACCCTGATCACTGGCATCCTTTGGGCTGCAGGACTGGCCTCTGTGAAATAGCATCAACCCTTTGGCTCCCACATGTAGTGAGGAGACAAAAGGCTGTTCCACTGCATTTCCACTGCTAAAAAATTTTACTGAACAGCCAAGCAGCTGTAGAATAAATAGGTTACCAGATGAAGTGAGTTGTCAAGGTCATCCCTAATCAGTCCTGGTATGACAGTATCACAGCAAACTTTAACCCCAGTGCCATACTCAAGTCTCCTCCACTGCAGTGGGCCATGTTACATATTTTAAAGCCATCAAAAACCTTAACTTCCATTCCTACAATATATTCATGATAAAACACTGCATTTATTTAGTAACTATGAAGGGATTTGCAAAAAGCTTTCAGCATACTAGCTCATTCATTACTCATGGATCTCCTAATCAGATATTGCTTCAAACATTTTACAGCTGAGGAAAGTTATAATCAATTAATCACCTGCTTTTACCCAAATGGTATGTTGCTGAGTCAAGGTCAGAATGCAGGTCAACGTGCCTAAGACTAAATTCCTGACAACTGCATTTCTGTTCATATACCTACAATGTTCTTCTTATTCTGGCTGTTAATTTTCAATTACAGAGATATCTAGAGCCCTACTGGAAGTAGGGAGAGGAGACAAAGGAAAAATCCTATTCAATTCAGACAACCTGGATCTCCTTCTCCTGGCAAAGCCTGGTGTCTCAGGCAAGACCGCTTTCCTTCAGGCCCTTACATCTGGCTCTTTCATTTATTAAAATTGATTTAGGTAATATTGACACAGAGCCTACGTCACATAAATCAAAGCAGATACAGTACTGAACAAAACAGAAACATCCAGATGCATGTGAATAACTTATTTGGGTGTGAGCAGTACACAAATGAATTATGTCAAGATCCCTGGGTGGCACAAGTAGTTAAGAGCTTGACTGTTAGCCAAAAGTCTGGCAGTTCAAAGCCACCCAGAGGTTCCTTGGAAGACAGGCCTGGCAGTCTGCTCTGAGAGATCATAACCTTGAAAATCTTATGGAACAGTTCTATTTTGCATACGTGGTGTTGCTATGACTTGGAATTGACTCCACAGCAACTAACAACAACATGTCACATGGTGGTAAGCTCTATGAAAAATGTAGCACAGTCAGGGGATAAGCAGTAACATAAGCGTATTTATCTTTAGTGAGTTAGTGGGGGGAAAAGCAAAGTAATTATTTTAGGAAACACTAGCTAGTGAAACCTGGCTTGGTAAGGAAAAAAAGAAAAAAAAATCACACTTTCAATTCTAAAAACTTGCAAGTGCTCTGCGATGATATAGATTCCAGATGCTCATTGACTTCAACAACTCCCAATGTTGAGGTACAGGAGTCAAAGAGGGCCACTGACCTCCAGGGTTGGGAAAGGGAAGATACACAGGTTATTCACAAAATAAAAAGGTCATTAGCAAAGGGTAAACATGTAAATTGGGGCACTAGAAAAATAACAACAGCATTAATAAATACTATCAAGAAAGTAAAAGAAATGCTAATAAAGATACAAAACACAAATGAGGACTTTCAGGTTTTGGTCCCATATGTAAAGAGCTTGGAAATCATCACTCCCATCCTCAAGAAAAAAGCTGAACACACTGAACTAAGTATTAAGGTCACAGGGCAGTTGCCCCCCAAACTGGAGGGACACATAGGCAGATAGAATCATTCTAGAGCAGAAGCCTAGGAGCAGAAACCATCGCTAGGATTAGTACCAGAGAAGGAAGACTTAAAAGTATAACTGAGGCTTGGTGTGCACAAGCTTCAGGGTTAAATATGCCAGGGGGCCCATCTTAGGGGGATCCACACAGTTTTGTGAGTTTTACCTCCATGAACCCTGCCAGGTCCTTGATGTGAAAATCCCTTGTGCTGCCAGAAGGGGTCAGAGGAAAAGCAGCCATTGTGAAACTTGCCCAGAGCATTCTGTTCTCCTTCACAAGGTCTGCTGTCATGGGGAACTATTCTACCAAAGTCTGACAGACCTGGAGTAGTGAAATACCCAACCTCAGCCCCATCCAGGCTTCCGTCTCGCCATACTGGGGGAGAGGAGAAGCAGAGAAGCACTGGTGAAGTCACTGCCCAGGTGCACAGGTTCACTGGAAAACTGAGACCTAATTATTGGAAAGCAGAGTACTGACAGTGCTGACAATGCAAGTAGCAGTTATTAATTAGGCTATTTAGGCTACTGAGGTCACAGAGCAAACCACTGCCCCCCAAAGTGGAGGGACACACAGGCACTCTGCTCCTCGGCTTCTGCTCTGGAATGATTCTCTGTATCTGCCTATGTGTCCCTCCAGTTTTGGATGCAGTCAATTCCCCTGTGAAACCAATAGCTTAATTAATTGAATTCACTGAAAAGAATAACCTGAACTAAGACTTGAACGGTGCAAAGAATTACCCAAGGGACAGCTGAGAAGAGACTGCTCCAGGAGGAGGAAGTATCACAGCACAGGCCAGCAGGTGGGAATGTGCCTGGTATATTTTAGGGAGATCCAAATCCCAGTATGACAAGAGCAATGTGAGATGCTGGAGAGTAACAGTAGAGGAATTTGGAGAGGTGACTGCAGCCAGTGGGCATATCATGTTCTGGGAAATGTGCTGGTTTCTGAAAGACTGGTTTCTAATCTGAGTGAAATGCAGAGCAATTTTACACCTTTGATCAGAGATGCAAAATGATACGACATCTCTTAAAGAATTTAAAGAACCTGTGTGTGGGAAAATGTAAAAGCTGGGAGATAAACTGGAAGGGTATGGCCATAATCAGATAAAAAATGATGAAAATGGGCATAGACAAAAAATGTACATCAAAGAATATATGTACTGACTACATCAATATTTTTCTAGTAAAAGCAGATAAAAAATAAGGGTATCTATTATTCCATTCTTATTCAACAATATCCTAGTAGTTTTAGCCGATACATACCAAAAAAGGAAAAGGAAAAGGTAAAGAAGAATGATAAAGATAAACAAAAAAAAAACTACGAATCTATATTTTTAGTTTAAATAACTATATATGTAGAACTCCCAAAGATGGTACAGATGATTTTAGGACTGAGAGTGTTCAGATTACAAAATCATATCAAAGTAAGTTTATTTTAAATATTTCATATATATACACTAGCACCAAGCAGTTGAGAAATTAATTTTAAAAGATAATGTAAGTTTTCAGTAGGAATAAAAGGTATCGAAAACAAGTGTAATTAAGAAGCGATCCTGAGGAAATTAGAAAACATTAAATGACGTCCAAATAGACTGAAATAATGAAAACATAGTGCACACTCTTAGAAAACTGTTCTGTACAAAGAGATCATTATTCCAATGCCCCTTCATAAAATTCAATCAATTTTATTTTTTTGAACTTTACAAAAAACTTCAAGAATGTATATGTAATTGCAAATGTCCACAAATAGCCAAGATATTCTAAGGAATAAGGCATGGGCTTGTCCACATATACCATATATAAAATTGTATTCACATATATTTTATAAATGGAGCAATATGAGACAGTAGAATATCATTATAGGAATACATAATAGACCAACAGAAAAAAATAAACAAGCCAGAAAAGGCCCACCAATCTCTATGGAAAGTTGATTCATGACACAAAAAAGCACTGCAGGGCAGTGACAGAAAGCACTCACACTTTAATATGTGGGGTAGAATCAACTATTTGGAGTCCCTGGATTGCATACATGATTAAGTGCTCAGCTACTAAGCAAAAGGTTGGAGGTTGAAGGGAAGGTACAGCCACCTTGGAAGAAAGGTCTGGAGATCTACTTTCTTCCAAAAAATGATGAAA